ACACAATTCTAGCTAGTCCGAGTTATTTAATCGCTCCCGGCGCTCAGTTACCTACGTCCTAACATACGCGGCCGAATACTGAATCGCACCCCTAAGTACCTTTCGTATCCTCCCTCGTGGGTCCTAAACAGCTGCTGATCTCCATTGCTCCCGATTGTTCAGTACCTACCCGCTTAGTACTAGCTCATACAGGTTTACATAGATGTGATCGTAGGGGCCTATATCTCTTTCATAGCTCTGGAACATACCTACTCATTACCTACTTGATGTGCATAGTGCGTCAGGCCATTCGATTCATAGCATGTCGAATTCTAGTCTTGGAACTTTTCCATGATCTAGACAAGGATGCGTAAGACATGGCCCGCCCTCTATATATTCTAAAGGCTGCACCGTCATTCGGACAACCCAATTACGACTATCTTACTGACTCTCTTCTTCTTTAACCACTTGTATCGTGAGAAGCCCCTGATCCTTAGTCATTTTGATATTTTCTCCTACCCTGCAGTTCCGTCAACAGTCAGTATCGTTGACGAGTAGTCTTCCTCCTTTGATTTACGGGACCTCGGAACGTAAGGTCACGTCATCAAATACCTGCGGAGTACTTGTTCCTCTAGTTAGGTACAAGCCGGCTTAGCGGAGGTCCGCAACGCCCGTATTAAACAGCGTCGCATAGTTGCCGCCCGTTTTGCGGACAGCAGCCGGCAGTTTTACTCCAATAAATAGCTACCATGGCGCCGGGTCTATTAGACGGTCACGATGACGGCCCGACTAGCAACGGGTTTCCGGAGAGCGTCCCCGATGCTCAACCGGTCCAGTTGCCGGCCTACGGCTCTCTAAATAACAGGTCGCACCTAAAGAAGGCATCATCAGAAGATGTGCATGACCTCGTCTGTGTTGGATTTGGACCAGCTAGTCTCGCGGTCGCAGTCGCCCTTCACGACGCCATCGACCACGGTAATCTCCACAAGACGGGCACCGGGTCGTCTCCGAAAGTTCTTTTCCTAGAGAAGCAGCCAAGATTTGCGTGGCACGCCGGGATGCTCCTCCCTGGCGCAAAAATGCAGATATCTTTCATCAAAGACATGGCTAGTTTAAGGGATCCCACCTCGCAGTTCACTTTTTTGAATTATCTCCACAAGAACGGCCGGCTAGTCGAATTCACAAATCTAAATACGTTTTTACCGTCGAGGGTCGAATATGAGGACTACCTTCGTTGGTGTGCCAGCTTTTTCGACGACGTCGTCCAATACAATAGCGAAGTGGTTTCTATCTCCCCTGTCAAGGGGCTAGAATCCAACGGATCGGTTTCCACCTTCACCGTTACGTCGAAGGATCCTAAAACTGGTGAATTGACCACTTATCGATCCAAGAATGTTCTTCTAGCTGTTGGTGGACAACCCTCAATACCGAAATGCTTACCTTCGAACCACCCTCGAGTCATTCACTCGTCTCAATACGCGCATCTCGTCCCACGAATTCTGGATAACCCGTCCTCTCCTTACCGAGTAGCTGTTATCGGAGCCGGACAGAGCGCTGCTGAGATTTTTAACAATATTCAAGTTCTGTATCCGAATTCCAAGACATACTTGATCATGCGCTCCGAGTTCCTGAAACCGAGCGACGATTCACCATTGTAAGCCAACCCAAAATTTCAGAGAAGTTTCCCTTATGTACACTTTGTTTCTTGTTAGGAAGCTAACCGGCAGCAGCGTAAATTCAATCTTCAATCCCTCGTTTGTGAACTCCCTCTATCAGAGATCTGCTGAAGACAGATACGCCCTACTAGAGGGAGCTCGGAGCACCAACTACGGAGTGGTCCGTCTAGAGCTTATCGAGCGTCTATACGAGAAAATGTACGATCAAAGACGCGAACTTGGGACCGACGAAAGAACATGGCCGCATCGCATCCTAGGCACTACAGATGTAGTCGGCTTAGACACCGAGTCCGATCAGCTGCGGCTCAGGGTTCGTCCTCTAACCTCGACAAAAACTGCCGTTCACGACAGTACGCAGGAAGACGAAGTTTTGGATGTCGACCTCGTCATCGCAGCAACAGGTTACCAGCGCCAATCACACCTGACTATGATAGAAGACGTAGCCCATCTGCTACCTCAAGCTTCCGAGTCGAACGGGGCTCTACCAAGTGGCACAGCTGGACGGAAGTTCTCAGAAGCTAAGATTAACGACCGAGCGGTAAGGGTATCGCGTGACTACAGCGTACAGTTTTCCCCCGGGAAAGTGGCGCCGGGCTCCGGCATCTGGCTTCAAGGATGCTGTGAGGGAACACATGGAGTGAGTCTATTTTACCCCATCAGAATATTGTACGTGTCGCTGACTTTGCTTCCTAGTTAAGCGACACTCTGCTGTCCGTTTTAGCTACTCGATCCGAGGAGATAGTTAACTCTATATTCGGCAAGGACATCCAAAATGGAGGCAAGTAAACATTACTCAATTGAGGCTTCCCCTTGACTAAGGTCGTGTCTCAATGCATCGGATATTTGCGAGGACCAGTTTACTTTTCGTGGATATCTGGCAGGGGAAGAATTACAAAAAGCATATAAGAGAATCATATGTGGAATTAAGACAATTCAAAGAGGGGTGCAACTAGGTGCACCAAAACCAAAGTAGGAATTCGAAACCTGGCTGCGTGCCTGGTAGTCAGGATATAACGACGGACATAAATAAAATCACTATTTAATTGTTTATATATACTTTGACCAAATGATCAAACTCGTTTTAAGCTGATTATTAGATATTCCCAATTTTAGCAGCCATGGCTATGACCTTGATGGTTCATATTCTACCTTGGATACTTCCTAGTAAATTTATCCCTGAGGAATTCGTGATATAACTAGTCTTAACCGGTTGCATTTCTATTCGCTTACGTTTGCGTGTCATTGATGTTAATCCTTGCTCAAGCCCATCCTTGATCGTGAAATGGAGCCTGGAATTAGAACGCACGCTATTTCGCAACCTTTTAGTGATATAAACGCGGTGGGCTAAAGTGAAAGCCTGTGGGAACACTACGATCAGGAACAAATGATCCCTAAAAGCTGGGGGATACCAAGGGGGGCATCCAGAATAAATGATACGTCTAATAGTGTGTAAAGCTCTAGGTTTGATGGTTGGGTTATAGTTCCTTGACGAATAACCACGTTATTTCCATACCTCTTACTCAACCTCGTGATATGATGCTTAAGGATTATTTCGATAATTTAATATAAGCTTACCTTATTGACTGAAGATTGTGACTTGTCTCGTAATAATTTCCCCATAAACCTACAGGCAAGCGTCAGCAAGGTGACTATTATTGATACCACCAGTCCAAATATAAAATGTGCTTATTCATATTGTTCGATAACATTAGAAGTATAAATACTAAGTTATTCCCTCCTTACCGCCTATTGATGTAGAAATTAGATCACTTTTGCAACGCATCATAATCTTGAAAATCTCATATACAATGCTTTCATCGCGATGGATAAAGGTGGTAATCTTCGTAGGCATTGGGTCCTGTACTCCAGTATCTGCCCAAGAAGATCATCTTCAAGTCTCAATCATCGATAGATCTACGTTAGACGGGAAACTATTCGTCGGGTATCAGGCATGGTTCCGGAAGCCGTTTGAAGACGATGGAAACTCGCACTGGACAACGTAAGGCTCGAAATCCGCACTACTATATCCAGAGAAATTTACCCATAATATATAGAGATACACCGACACCTGAGGTTGGCCATGGTGAGAAGTCCACTATTTGATCCAGAGCTTACACTGATTTCTTCCACAGTCGGTGTTGACATGGTACCTAATATCACGGGATATCCAGAAGATTGCCTCTTTGACACCTCGTTTACACTGCCAGACGGTAAGCCCGCACAATTCTACACGAACGACTGCGAGGGAGTTGTGGACCTACACTTTAACATGATGGCAAACTACGGTATCAGCGGCGCTTTCATCCAAAGGTTCTATGGCTATATCAACGAAGCGAACGGAGGTTGGGTTAACGTGCGTAACATTTCCCGTACCGAGCGAAGTTGACAGCAACCTGACTACAAGGTAGATCCTAAACTATGCGAAAACAGCCGCCGAGAAATATGGGCGCGGGTTCGTGATCGAATACGACCTTAATGGCGCATCAACGGGTTCTACAAACGTCACCGAAACCTTTTTAGCAGATCTGGAAGCTCTTGCCTCCATCACCTCATCTCCAGCTTACATGCATCACAACGGAAAGCCCGTCCTAGAGATATGGGGCTTTGGCATAGTGACAGAGGTCACCGCGGACGACGGGATCGCAATCGTAACAGCGCTGAAGAACGCAGGTTGGTACGTGATACTCGGAATTCAACAAGCGTGGCACGCAGAGCTAGTCGCGGACCAGCCTGGCGGGTTCGGACCAGTCTACAAACTGGCGCATATGATACAGCCCTGGACTGTGGGAGCTTACGACATCGACAACTATGACGACTTTCACGACGGAAGACAGGCCGTCGAAGACAAAAACGCATTGCAACAGTTGGGATTAGAAAGCAGTATCGTCGTGTGGCCCGGAGGCTCAAGCAGTAATGCGAATCCGAACGAGGAATTTGATCACTTCCCCAGGTGGAACGGCACGTTCTATCAAAAGCAATTAGACGGTGCTATCAGCTTGAAGCCTAATTTAATATTCAGCGCCATGTTTGACGAGGTGAATGAGGGAACGGCGATATTCCCCGTCCTAAGGAATAGGGAGCTACCTACTAATCAACGGTTCCTGGGGATCGACGACGACATGGAACCGGATATATATTTGAAGAAGGCCGGAGATGCAGCGTCGAAATTGGCGATAGCTCAGCAGTTGGACTAATCTCAAGACTACCTGGCAGTCAGATTTCCCCTGCGGCAATGTTGACCTCCTTCGCGAATAATTATCGAATGCGCGATCTTTCGGCTCATGTAGTTTTGCAGTGGAAAGGTTAATACAACTTCTATATTATAAGATGAATTATTAGGGAAGACTGCACACTAAGGTCATCAATCTATAGCTAACCCTCTCCATTTACAACTTCCCTTTCTTAACAACGGTGATTTCTACCTGGGTGGGTTCTCAACCAATCTAGCTGCGTTTTCCATCTCCTGCATCGACGGCATATTAATTATCATCATATACATGATATCCTGCGAGTACAGGTTAGTACTATAGGCAGTACTCATAAGAATAAATGTTAAATACCTTTCGTAGAAATCGTTTGCGTGGTTCCTTCTCAGCTCTTTCGGGGTGTCTGCGTGCTCGTCTTTCTTGCCTTCGTTCGCGTCTCTCGTGCTTGCGCTCATCTTTCTCAAGCCTACGCAGCTGCCTCTTATGGTCTTTTCGCGTGAGTTCAACCTTTGGATCCATCAGGGGATTGAGAGCACCAGTAGGGTTTTTTCTCAGCTATTGAAAATTGGTAATAAGTATTTGACGATCCAAAGGGGATATTAGCCCTCACATATTTTCTTTGAGCCTTAAGGTCTTTACGTTCGTTGTAACTATCAATCAGCTTTGAAAAGAAGCTCTTCGTACCGCTTTCACCCTCCTCCTCGTCGCTGGACGTGTCTTCCAGATCAGGGAAGACCAATTCAGCGGAAGCCGGGAACTCAATCGGACCTGTTATCCCATCATTACTTCGAAATTCACTGCGAGTATTACTAGTTGCGGCACTGAGATCTTCCTGTACTAGAGCGTTATTAGATTCCGGGTTGTATGCCATGATGAAGCAGTACAGGCCACGCGGTCGGAAAAGCTCGTCGTTCATCTTCAAAAGGAACGCGTTTTGGCTATAACAATACGGTAAGCAAACCTGGTCCGATAGAGCCAGACGGGAATGTCGTTACTTCTTACGGCTCCGCATCTCCTGGTATACTCCGGCTGTTATCTTGACAGTCAGGGTAACAGCAGTTCCTATACCCGATGGCAAGAAACCAGCCGCATTTGAAGCAAGGTTGATAGCGCTAACATATGGACAAGACGCCGTCGCTTTATCTAGTTCGTCGAGAAACCCCATAAAAGTAGGCACGTCAATGCCACAGCTCATCAAATCGGGCGCGTAGGCCCTGATGAATCCGCGATCCCGTTGTCCGGGTCGTCGCTGGGGGATGATAATTGGATAAGGAAGAGAACCAGACGCGACAGGTAGAGAAGGTCCAGGGTTTACGGGTACCGGCGCGCCGAGGTCGTGGTGTCGTTGAAGGCCGCTATTACCGCTATAACGCGCCCGTAGCTTCTCTTGAGCGTCATCAAGTGCCCACTCCTCTTCCTCGTTATATCGTTGGTAGTTGTCAAGTTCAGTATCTCTTAGTCCTATCATATGGTTAACTAAAGTCCTCTTGAAGTCGCACCGGAATTTTGTTACTTGGCATTGTATTGTAGGAGGTGGTCATGATATCTAGTGTCACCCGATGTAACTTGTAAGAGTCTCGATCGTGACGATTGAAGGTTATTGAAACCTGACTTTTATGATGGAACCGACGCCTTTAGCGAGGCGAGTTAACTAGGATCTATACGATTAACCAAGTCAAGGAAATGAAAGGTAGGTAGGTATATACTACAGTTGAATACTTCAAGTACATAGATTAATAAAGAGGTGAAGATATCAAGACTAGCAGTTTTGAGGAATTGGACTTTTTATATAAATTATTCATCGCAAGTCATAATTGATATTGACTGCACCGCCTCGTTCGCTTACAAGTTGTTGGTTACATACGTGCCAATCATTAGCGTTTGGTTTCAATGTTGGTTGAATCTATACCATACGTGGCTTAGTAACTGCCCCGGCATAATTCTTGCCTGAGAATATGCCTTAGGTAGGTAGGAGGTAGGAATGCAATTTTAATGATACGTGTATTATATCTCTAAGGTACACGCTCGCGCGGAGAAATTTACCCGTATAGACTCGTACATCTGAACATCTACCTAAGATCTAATTCAACCTTACCTGAATGCGCGCAAGCTGGTTGTTTAACAGGGGCCCGGATTTTAACCCATAAAGCTATGCTTCGCCACAAACAGGTAAGTTTATTCGGATCTAGCTTCTTACGCAGTTGATTTTAAGCATTAAATAACCTTTGATATATATTCGATGAAGAAGCTATTAAATTCGTGGTTGCTTTTTAATACATTACTATGCGATAGGGTAAACGCTAATACTAGGCTTTTACCTAGATCTCTAAGAGAAACAACAGTAGAGTACCTAGTTTTTATATTATCAATCAAAAGATTTAGTGAATAGAGCTACTCGACATGGCTACCGGCATAGGTCGGATGTCATATACCCTCCCGCCTAGCCCTTCTTCGACACCTTGATGAATGATTACAGGACGCGTTAAGAGGTAGTTTCATTCCCAGATTCGGCTTGTCTGCTTCGCTCTTGTTCTTCCTCCACCAGGCGTATTGTCTCTCGTCTCATCTTGTATACATATTCATGATCAGTGCGAACATATCCTTCATCCAGGTTTTTATTCGGTACCCTAATCCAAGCTGGTGACATTCCACTCGTCCAAAACTGTACAGTCTCGGCGAAGTACCGTCGCGCAATCAGGTAAACACCTTCAAGATATGGAAGGACGGTGTCGCGGCTGACAAGCTCAGATTCGAAGCGCACAAAGTACTCGCAGCGGTAGGGTATTATCGGACCTTCTCCAACATTAAAGAAGACATAGGCGTTTTTCGTTGCTGTATTGCCGATAATCTGGATAAGGGGTTCGCCATTTCTAGGATTGATCTCATCCTTAAGAAAAGCCTCGTATACGTCCTGCTGATCCTCGCTAAGCGAGGGATAAACACCGAAGCCACAGTCAACGCCCATATCGAGTCGATAATACTAGTATGAGAAGTGTAGGGCTATCAGTAGTTACAACCGCAATGAGGAAAATGCTCGGTGTGAAAAGATGAATCAAGCTCCCGCGCCCAAGCTGGACGGTACCGTCCTGGATTAACAGGGGCGAGGTAACCCAACTGTGATTGTTTCACGTTTCACAGCCAGCTTACCTTTTGTTCGTAACATCATTTCTGCACCGCTCCACCTATTGCTGTTCTTCGTCGTTATATTCTCTTTGCCCGTCTTCGGCGGAAGCAGCATCTATCCTTGCCTCTCCCCCCGGGCCCGCTTGGCGTCCCCATTGTGGGAAACTCTGCAATTCAATGGGCTCCCCTGGCTGAAGCTTAGTAAATGGGCGCAGATATATGGTGATTGTTATCAGTCCACCAAACCCTTCCTCGCTTTGATACCGTCCTAATACTGATTACCTACTGTATCGGATAGGACCGGACGTATACATGTCTGTCTTCGGCCAGCACGTTATTTCTCTTAATACGCTAGAAACGGCATTAGACATTTTAGACGACAAAGCAATGGTTATATCAGGGCACCTTAACCTCACCATGGTGCGTTTGATGGCAAAAGGCCTCTGGATATCATCCATGCCAACAGCGTCCGTGTAAAAACCTTCCTACATGTCTCTCCCGCCATGCCCATCCGGGCGTGCTTTCGGACGTAGTAAATACCACCGGAGGTGGTATATACAACGTCCAACTCCGTTCTCCCTTTCTCCCCCCCCTCTCCACTGTCTTTGGCCTATATATTATGCATTTCTAAACCAGTGGTTCATCACCGCAGGTGGAACCGGCACAGGAAGGCGTTGCACAATGTCTTACGCTTGCTAGACTTGTCCTCGAATTGGCTCTCGCAAAAGGTCGCCATGCTCACGGCTAATATGCTACGCTAGCCAAACGACTGGAGGCAGCATTTCAAGCTCGCCACCCACGCGGAAAGCGGCGCGGTCGCCTACGGAAACGGCTTGCGTCGCGATGTTATGCCCCGTTATTTTAAATGACCTCCTCATACATTTAAAATTAACCGGACCCCGATATAAATTAAGTTAATGGTTAGAAAATTGTAAATAATAAAAAAAAAGGAAAAATAAAAAATTTAAAAAAAAAAGAAAAAAATCTTTTTTTTTTAAAATAACCATTAAAAATAAATTAACTACACTTGTTTTAACATTAATGTATTAACTTTTTATATTATTTAAAGTTTTAATATTTTATTAAACATTTTAATTTAATAATAACAATTTTATTTTATTAATTATAATTAATTACATAAAATTTTTAAAATTTTTAAATAAATTAAATAAATATTAAAACTTAAAATTTAATTTAACCATTTAACATTTTACTTATTTTTTATTTTATTTTTATATTTAACCTTTTTAATTATTATTATAAAACGCATAAAAGTATAATATATTAAAATCTTTTATATTAAAAATTAAAAAACAAATAAAAACTAATATATTTTTAATAAAAATACGTTTTATAATAATAAATAATATATTAATTTTATTTTTTTATAAAAATAATTTTCTTTTAATACTTATACATGGTACTTATATTATAATATATGGTAATTAACGTTATATATTTATTATTATATTTTTATTTAATTAAAATATTTTAAATAATATTACTTTAATAAATATTTTATTTATAATATTTACTTTATTTATAATATTTACTTTATTAACGTTTATATAATAATTTACGTTAATATTATTTATAAACCTTTTTATATTATTATTTAACATAAAAGTTATAATTTTACTTTTTAAAAAATTACGTTTAAATATATTTTTTAAATTTATTTAAATTAATATTATAAAATTTATTAATATACGTATTAATATTTTATATTAATAAAAAGAAAAAAATGGCGATTATTTTTAATTAATTAAAAAAAAAAAGGTTTTAATTAAAAAATAATGCGATTAAAAATTATAAAAATATATCTTCGTTTTTTAAAATTTATTATACATAAGTTAAATAATTAAAAAGATTTATAAAAACGTTAATATATTTTCGAAAATATTTAAAACATTTTATAAATATATTTACGATATTTTTAAAAATATAAAATATAAATTTCTTTAAAAATAACTTTATATAAATATAATAATAATTATAATAAATAAATATTTATTAATAAATATTAAATATTATATTAATTAATTTATTTAAAATTATTTAATTAAAATAAAGCGTAATTAAATAAAATTAATAAACGTTTAACTTTTTTACATTTAACTTAAAAGTTATTTTAATAAAAATATCTTTAAAAATATATAAAATTATATAATATATAAAATTATAAATATTAAAATTACGTTTAATAATAAAATAAATTTAACGTTTTACTTTTTATAACACATTTATACCTTTTTTATATTAATTATAATTACCGTAATTAAAAGTAAAAAAAATAAAAACTTTAAATTAAATTAATTTTATATTATAAAATATATTAAAAAAAAAAACTTATTAAATTTATTAAAGGTAAAAAACCAATATTTAATAAATAAAATATAAATAATAACGCTTATAAAATTATTTAAAATAATTTTAATTTTTTATTTTTTTTAAAGAAAAATTATAAAGTAAAATTAAATTAATTCGATTAATTATTATTTAAAATATTAAATAATTTTATAATAAAACTTGTATTTACGGTAATACGTTTAATTACTTAAAATATATAAATAAATATTAATCATTTAAATAAATAAAATAATTTTAAACCATTTTTTATAAAAAAAATAAAAATATTATTAAATTTTTTAAATTTTAATAATAATAATTTATTTATTAATAAATTAAAACTTTTAATTATAATATAATTTTTAATTATAATATAATTTTTAATTATAATATAACTTTTAATTATAATATAACTTTTAATTATAATATAACTTTTAATTATAATTATAATAATTAATTATAATAATGTATTAAATAAATTTAACGTTTTTAAAATTATAAATATTAAACGTAATTATAATGTTATATATAATTTTAATATTAATATTATTTAATCGTATAACGATTTTAATTTAAAAGATTTTTATAATATTAATTTATTTAAAAAATATATAAATAATATTAAAAATAATATAATTTAATTATTTTCGAATAAAAATATAAATTTTATAATATATTATATATAATATGTAAATTTATATTGTATAAAATATTATTAAAATATATTTTAATATTTTAATATTTTATAATTATATTATTTTTATATATATAATTTATATTAATAAAATATTAAAAAAAAAAAAAAAGATTTATTATTAATTTTATATATATTTTTTTAATTTTCTTTAAAATTATTTTTATATAAAATTAATAATATTTATAAACTTTTTAAATTTCTTTATTATATATCTTTAATAATATTATAAAAATTAAATAATATTTATTTTTTTAATAAATATAAAAAATAATAAAAATAATTAAAATATAATATTTAAATATT